CGGCGCGGGCGGAGGCTGCTTGGACTTCATCCTGGACTGCTGTCGGGTGCGCCGCGCTCACCTGCCCCTCCCTCCCTTGTCCTTTGGGTTCGGCGATGACGGTCGAGTCACCCTTTGGAATCCTGGCGATTTGGCTGGTCACCCGGAGCCCACGGGGGCCTTTGGACCCGAGCCGCCGGGGAACCCGTCCTGATGCTTTGTTGACAGCTGCCTGTACCGTTCTGAGTTGAAGTAGTTGCATATCCCCCCCCTCCCATCTACCCCTACATTTGAGAGTATCGGTGGGTCACTGCCTGGGGTTTCCTGGGGGGGACACTGGTCCCCCCCTCATGACTCGTGTGATGGCGCAATGCAGGGCTGAGCTTCGAGGGGACCGACGCTGGAAAGCTGACATTTAAGGGATGCTGGGGGAACAGGGGCAGGGCACAGTGGGAAGGCCTGAGAGAAGCGATTGGTTTCATTTTTCACCTCTTTCTGCGTTCTGCGTGTTCCAATGCATCCAAACCTTGATTTGTTATTTAAATGGGTGCCACAAGTGACATCTACCTTCTGAACTTTATCTCTGTCAGTGCTAAACACTTAGGTCATAGCCTTAGAGAACAGCTTCCTTTGGACATAGCATTCCTTATTGGTTATTTAAACCAGTGTGGATTTTCTCTCTTCTTGGGTGGGGGAAGGGAGAGGACTGGGAAGAATGTACAGTATTAAATAATCAACAATAGTAAACAAAACTGTTCAGCCTTAAAATACAGTTCCCGGCCATCCCACATCTTGGGTAGAGTCAGGATCTTTTGATTAAGTCAGCCTCACAATAAAACGTTTTCAACAAAAACTTAAGTAGTTCTAGTGTTCGTTTTTTTTTTCGTTTTTTGGAAAAGAAACATAGACTAACCAGGTTTTACTTTCCTGTATGTGCAGTTATGTAATCGTAAAAATTTAGGGGGAAAAATGGTTTGCAGATAGATTTGGAGAGAGTTCTCTTTTGGGACAGGTGAGAGAATTAGCTTCTTTTTCTATGATCCTTCCCCTACCCCTCCTAAGTGCTCTACACTTTGTGGCACTGAGCTCATTTGCAGATTTTCTATGGATGGTGATGAATAAAAGAGAAATGCTTGTAGTGACCTAGGTTTCTTTAGTGTAAATGGCTTAATAAAACTAAATAGTAGCCACTCTCTGATAGCTCACGCCTGTAATCCTAGCTACTCCAGAAGCTGAGATCTGAGGTTTTCAGTTCGAAGCCAGCTGGGGCAGGAAAATCCAAGAGATTCTTATCTCTCAATTAAGCACTAAAAGGCCAGTAGTGGAGAGGTGGCTCAGGTAGAGTGTCAGCCTTGAGAGAAAAAGCTAAGGGGCAGTGCCCCAGCCTAGGTTCAAGCTATAGTACCAGCATGCGCGCACACACACACACCACAACAACAAAAAACCTAAGCTGAGCACCTGTAGTTCACACCTGTAATCCTAACTATTCAGGAGGTTGAGATTGCTGTTGAAAGTCAGCCTAAGTCCATGAGACTCCTATCTCCAATAGGGCCTGAACACTGTCCCTGAGCTCTTTGGCTCAAGGCAAGTGCTCGCACACACCACTTCTGGTTTTCTGGTAGTTAATTGAAGATAATTCTCACAGATTTTCCTGCCTAGGTTGGCTTTGAACTGCCATCCTCAGATCTCAGCCTCCTGGGTATCTAGGATTACGGATGTGAGCCACCAGTGTCTAGCTAAAAAGATTTTTGGTGTACATTTAAAGACACACTGTTTTTCCTTTTGCAATAGTGTGTATGTGGTTGTTTGGTGTTTCTGCTTCTTGTAATAGTTGATGTATTTGGGTAATAATATTCTTTGTTAAGATTTCAGTACCATTCTTTCAATAAATAGTTGCTTGCTTGCTTACTCAAATTCTGGGCCTGGGCGCTGTCTCTCAGCTGGTTAGCTCAAAGCTACCACTTGAGCCACAGCACCACTTCCTATTTTTCTGGTGGTTAATTGGAAATAAGAGTCTCATGGATGTTCCTAACCAGGCTGGCTTTGAACTGTGATCCTCAGATCTCAGCCTCCTGAGTAGCTAGGGTTACAGGCATGAGCTACCGGTACCTGACTTCAACAAATAGTTTCCGAAGGCCTCTACTTGTGTTTTAGGCAGTAGGAACAGCTGTGAACAAAGCAATAAAAAAAAAATCTTTGCTATCATGGAGCTTACATCCTAGTACATGGCAATAATAAAGATATAGCCTGCCAGATGTTACAGCTTTGAAGAAAACAAATCCAGGAATGATGGGCATGGTAGTCCACACCTATAATAATCTTAATGCTTGGAAGGCAGAGACAGGAAGATCTGGAGTTTGAGGCCATCCTGGGCTACGTAGTGAAATTCTTTCTCAAAACAAGGTTAGAATAAAATTTAAAACACAGGGAAATGGGATTAGAAGAATCCCGAAGATTGGTGGATTGGTAGAGTTGTGATACTATTTTATTTTATATTGGTTCTGAGGATTATACTCAGGGTCTAGCATATATTAATCATATGCACTGCCATACAGTGCTCTCATCTCCCAGCTGATGATCCTCTAGGAGAAGGTGACATTTGAGCAGAGATCCTGAAGGAAGTAAAGAAGCAAGTCATGTAGATTGTGTAAGCCCTAGGGAAACAGCATTAGTAGCAGTAAACAGCAAACACAAAGACCCTGAAATGAGATAGTGTGTAGTTTTCCCTAACAACAAGGAGACCAGTGTGGATGCTACTGAGGAAGGAGGGGAGTGAAGTAAGACTATAGAGGAATGGGTGGGAAGATTTTATAGGTGCAGAGATTGGGAACATTTGGCTATCCAATCATATATATATATATATATATATATATATATATATATATATATGTATATGTATGGTCCTAGAAATCATTTGGTATAGGGCTGGGATGTAGGTCAGTGGCAAAAGCATTTGCCACCAGGTGCTGGTGGCTCATGCCTGTAATCCTAGTTACTCAGGAGGCTTAGATTTGAGGATTGCAGTTCAAAGCTCGCCCGGGCAGGAAAGTCTGTGAAACTCTTCTCTCCAATAAACCAGCAGAAAATCGGAAGTGGTGCTGTAGCTCAAGTGGTAGAGCACTAGCCTTGAGCTGAAGAGCCGAGGGACAGCGCTCAGGCCCAGAGTTCAAGCCCCATGACTGACCAAAGGAAAAAAAAAAACCAAAAACATTTGCCTAGCATGTGCAAATTCCTGGGTTCAATTCTCAGTACCAAAAAAAAAAAGTCAACATGGCAGGATAGACACATTTCTTGGCACTCTTGGCTGCCTGTGGCTGGACTGCCTATATTGATATTGATAATTTTGTAAGGTACTTGAATGGCATTGTAAATATCCAGTGGCTCTTGACAGAAAAAAGGTTCTTCCCTGGCAGGGCCAAACAGACAATTTTTAGGCTTTTACTGTGAGAAGAGTACTGATAAGATCTGATGTTTTTTAATTTTTTTTTTTTTTTTTTTGTCGGTCGTGGGGCTTGAACTCTGGGCCTGGGCGCTGTCCCTCAGCTCTTCAGCTCAAGGCGAGCGCTCTACCACTTGAGCTACAGCACCACTTTCGGTTTTTTGGTGGTTTATTGGAGATAGGAGTCTCACGGTCTTTCCTGCCCGGGCTGGCTTTGAACCGCGATCCTCAGATCTCAGCCTCCTGAGTAGCTAGGATTACAGGCGTGAGCCACCAGCGCCCGGCTGATGTTTTTTAATTTTTAAAGTTTTATTTATTCATTTTTGCTGGTCCTGGGGCTTGAACTCAGGGCCTGGGCCCTGGCTCAGCCTTTTTTGCTCGAGGCTAACACTCTTATCACTTGAGTCACAGATCCACTTCCAGCTTTTTGGTAATTTATTGAAGATAAGAATCTCACAGGACTTTCTTGGGGAGGTGCTGGGGGATGGCTCTGAACTGATCCTCATCTCTCAGCCTCCTCATCTCTCATCTCTCAGCTAGGATTCCAGGCATGGGCCCCTGGACTGATGTACCATCTGAAAAGGTATCTGTAGTTATTCTATTGAGCATGTTAAGTGAAGGTTGAGGGTAGAAGAAGTCTGGTTAGGATTCTCTCCTTGAGAGGAGAGGATCGGGGAGAGATTCATACTATAGGTGGAAATGGCTTGGTGACATAAGGGAAGGTTGAGGGTAGAAGAAGTCTGGTTAGGATTCTCTCCTTGAGAGGAGAGGATCGGGGAGAGATTCATAGATGGAAATGGCTTGGTAACAGGCAGGAAAGAGTCAGATTCTATCTATGTATTGAAGATAAAACCCACAAGTGTTGTGGATGAATTGTATGAGTGTGTGCATTCTTTGAAAAAAATGATCAAAGATGACTCCCAAGATTTTTGTCCTGATCAATTATAAGCATTTCTACTGGAAGAGGAAGACTAATAGAAAAGCAGGCTAGAGACTAGTTCAGTTTTAGAAATGTTAAGTTTGGGGTTGGAGGCATGGCTCAAGTGGTAGAGCACCAGCCAAAGAGTAAAAGCGTCAGATACTGACGTTGAGCCCTAGTCTTGGATCAGAAACAATTTTGTCTGGGTTGCCAGTGGCTCACACCTATAATCCTAATTACTTCAGGAGATTGAGATCTGAGAATCTAGGTTCAAAGCAAGCCTGAGTGGGAAAAGTCCATGAGACTCTCATCTCCAGTAAACTACCCAAAAAAGCTGAAAGTGGAGCTGTGGCTCAAATGGTAGAGTGTTAACCTTGAGCAAAAAAAGCTCAAGGCTGAATACTGGTGGCTTATACCTGTAATTCTCACTATTGAGGAGACTAAGATCTGAGGATCGTGGGTTGAAGCCAGCCCAGGCAGAAAAGTCCTCATGACACTCTTCTCTCCAATTAACCACTCAAAACAAACCCAGAAGTGGAGCTATGGCTCAAAGTGGTAGGGGGATAGCCTTGAGCAAAAGAGCGCAGGGTCAGCACCTAGGCCCTGAGTTCAAGCCCTGGGACTAGCAACACACCAAAAAAGAAAAAGAAAAAGTTAAGTTTGAAGTGTCTATTAGACTTTCAAATGGGGCAGGCATCTGTTTGCAGAGAGGTTCTGTGTGTGTATGTGTGTGTGTGCATACACACTTTTCTTTTTTTTTTTTTTGGTTGGTTGTGAGGTTTGAAATCAGGGCTTGAACATTGTCCCTGAGCTCTTTTTGCTCAAGTGTAGTACACAGCCATTTTGAGCCATAGTGCTACTTTGGGTTTTGAGTGT